ATCTGAAGGGTACTGTAGGACATGGAATTATTTTTGGCAGTCAGAAGAATGATCCTTCAGTTGTGGGGTATGTTGATTCAGACTATGCAGGTGATTTGGATAGCCGGTATGTTTTTACTCTTGGTGGAGGGCCTATATGTTGGAAATCAACAATTCAGTCTATTGTGGCATTATCTATAACTGAAGCTGAGTACATGACAGTAGTTGAAGCTGCTAAAGAAGCTTTATGGCTTACTGTGGTAGTAAAGGAATTGGGCATTGAGCAAGGTGGAGTTCAGTTGCATTCTGAAAGTCAGAGTGCTATTTATCTAGCTAAAAACCAGGTGTACCATGCGAGAACCAAGCACATTGATGTCAGGTATCACAAGATCGGAGAGTTGATTGCTTCTGGGGAGATACTGTTGCAGAAGGTTCATACTAATGAGAATGCAGGCTGATATGTTGACCAAGCTGTTGACCAAGCCAGTTACTATCAACAAATTCTTGCATTGCTTGGACTTGTTGAATGTTTGCAGTTGCTAGAGAAGCATAGTGGCAGAACCCACAATGATGCAGGTGTAACTCCCAGGTATTTTCTCCAAAGGGGCTGGATATTCGCCAAGGTGGAGATTTGTTATGGTATGACTCATATACCATATAGGGACAGACACTAGATTGAAGCGGAGCGGAGCAGAAGAATCTATCAAAATTGGGAAGTTACGTGGGTTGGGGTGCGGGGGCAAATCCCCGCGATATCCCCGGGGGGCAAATCCCCGCGATATGGTACAGGGGTAATGTTGTAATTACATATTGTGCCTAGGGTTTACTCCTGGGGTTATAAATAGGCATGTTAGTAACCCCATGTGGTATCCCCTATTATCTAACCTCTTTTCTGAATATTGAAAGGAACTCGCCACTCTGCTCCCGAGGACGTAGGCACCTTTTCCGAACATCGTTAAATCTCTGTGTTTTTCTGGATTTGTGTCGATTAATGTTTTTCTTCGCCCTAATTTTCTCAACACCCACAGACTTGCTCCTACCTCCAGTTAAAGTAACTTGAGCTCCTTATCTTAATTAAATAAACTTCCCTCTCTGGTTGGTCTTAGAGTAGTCTAGAGGGCTTGGGATACAAGGGAATTGATGGTGAAAGTGGTTTGAAAGTTTAGAGAATCGAACGGAAGCGTTAGACGGAGATTCAATGGATAGATGGGGAGATTAGAGTGAGTCCTAGATTGAGATGGTGAAATTGAATGCCCTTTAATGGTGGATTAGCTTAGGATCAATGGAAGATTGGCGGTTTGAGTCTTAGCTATGTTTTGAAATCTAATTGGGTAAGGCTTACCAAGTGGAATGGGTCATGAAGAGCACAATATAAGAGGGCTATTTATAGGCATGGGTGGCTCGAGTTAGCTCAAGGAGGGTTAGGTAAACTAATAATTGGTGACTTGCTGATGTAACAAGGTCAAATGAGCTTGGAAAATGAGAATTAACCATTTGGATGGTCAAATTTGGTGTGCTTCCTAAGGGGCATGCCATCTGTGCTTTAAAGGTAGTGTGGCTTGCTTATTTCAAGAGGTTCGGGTGAGCTTGGGTGAAACCATTTGGAAGTTAAGATAATTAGAATTCGTTAGAAGGAGGAAAATTAGAGTTTTCCACGTGGAGAAGTCATTTTGCATCATGATTGGCCAAAAAGAATGCTTCTTGACTGTCTTTGCATTCCTTGATTTGGCCTGATCATTGCATTTGTAGTTTGGCTTGAATATAGCTTGAAATAGCTCACTTGAGTTCAGAGAGTTAGTGGCTTGGATGTGAGCCCATTGCGTGGCATGGAATTGGTTTTGGTGGCTTGGCTTAGGTGAAGTAGATTTGGCTTGGATTAGCAAGTGTTGGCTGGTGATATAAATGCTAAATTTGGGCAAGCTTTGGTGTAGTTTATTAGCCAATAAAGTGTCTTGAATTTCGTTGTTTTGGTTTGAAATGGTTTAGTAAGTGGAGTGGTGTGTGGGTGTGTGAAAATTTTAGTTTGATTGGTTTTATTTTGAATATTGTAGTGATTTGAAAATTGTGATTATTTCTGTAGTGTTTTTGAATGGTTTATGAAAGATTTTAGAGAGTAAAATGTGTTTGAAAAATTTTGTTTGAAATATGAAGCGAACTCAAACAAATATTAAGGGGATGGAAAAATAGTGAGAGAGTGAAAACAATTATTTTATTATTTATTTTGAAAATTTTATTGAATTCTCATAATTAATTATTATGTGACATTGATTATTGGTTTTCTTGGCAAAATTTATGTATTATGTCATTATTTTTAACTACCTTATAGGATTTTATTTAATTTTTCTTTATTTTTTTAATTTATTGAACTTTTTATTATTTTGAATGATTTTTTTTTATATATTGGAGTTTTCCAAACCATTTTTTCTTATCCTCATTTCATTGAATAATTTTTATTTTAAATTTTTAATTTGTGCATAAGTATTTGAATTTGATTTTAATTTTATTTGAATTGATAAGTTTTAGCGAATTTTATTTTATTTTGAATTTTTATAATCGTATTCATCTTTCTCTTTCATCAAGAGATAAGCTCTCTCTTAGTTCAAGAAGAATCTCATACCAAATTGGCTCTTTATGAATAAAAGAAAAACTTTAAAAGAAGTGAAAAAAGTATTAGTGCCCAAAGGAGAAGAGAAAGTAAAAGGCCTAAGCCTACAGGGAAAAGTGTTAATTTTGAAGCCTATATGAGCTCAACTTAATATTTAATGCCTTTACCTCAATCAAATCAACCAAAGGTTAAGGATTCAACATCAAATATGTGAATCCATAAGGAGTTAATGGATGTTTTCATTTCTGATTTGACATTGATCCAATCACTAGTGATCTAGGAAAAACCATTAAGGAAACCTAAAAGCTAAATTCTATCTTCTAGAGAGAAAAAGAGAAAGACATATTTCATGCAAAAAAGAGGTCAACAAGAAAGGAGTAGATCTAGGTGCGAGCTTGACCATTGAGAGTTGCAGAGAACACTTGACGTAGAAGCGCATTAGACACTCTTAATGTGCTTAATGGTTCGATAGTTGTCAACTTGCTCTTAGTCGTCAATCACCTCTTCATAGGAATCAAAATTTGAGAACATAAACCCCACTACTATGGGATATTAGAGGACAACCTCGATCAAGGTCAATAGTTTTGAAAGTTGTGACGAGTAGGATGTGATTCTTATCTTGCAGAGGGAACTCCTCTTGAACAACATTATGTAGCTCATCATTAATAAAATTTTCAGGTGTGATAGTAAGATAAGAATAGGCTAAGTTTCTCGTGAGCGTTGGAGGGCTATCGGTCGATCTAGCTGTGCAGAACTGATGAGTAGGACTCACCGTATCGAGGATACATCCAGAGGAAATGTTTCATTGCAGGAAGGTGGCTTGGTAGGAGTGCACTCAAGTAGAGCATTTCCCTTCAACTGTTGGACTGGTTGTGTGAGCATCTATTGCCAAGCCTTGTATAAGAGCTGAAGGATCTCATTCTATGACACCTCCATGCTACACATTTAATCCTGCAAAGAGGGGCTCGAGGCAGCTTCACCATCAAGATAGTGCCCTCTAGGATGAAAGTGGTAGAGGCTTGACATCCTGTGCTCCGTGACTGCCCCAGGGAATGGTGGCTGTTGAAGTCGGATGCTTCATTGTTGCAAATGTTGCGTCTAGTGGCCATTTAGCAAGTTACACAAGTTCTTCCATGGTAGGATTATCTTTGTCACAGACAACGCCAAACTGATGCGTGAAAGAGAATTTAGCATACAGTTAGGAATTAAAAGTGACAGGTAGAAATACTAGAATTTTTTACATGAAAAACTCAAAAAGGGAAAAAACAAAGTTGCTTAGCTCTAATGAAATGATCTATTATGAATTGATGATTACGGAAAGAGTTACACAGTTTCTCGAGTTACAATTGTCGTACATATATAAGCTCATTACCCCACTCTATGAAGCAGTCGTAGTGGGGAGTAGTTGATGAACATTTAGCATACTATCTTCAAGGTTGGCACGACATTCAGAATGATGCACTGCTCCGTATGATACTTCATCACTCCGAAATATCGATTGATGCTTCACACGATGCTTCGTCGCTCGCAAGTCTTAACTCCGCTTAAAGCTTCGTTGCAATAATTGAAAGGCACCCGAAAAAGGTAGACAGTGTCCAGCACGTGGTGGTTGATGGTGGTTAGCGGCTCTACTGCGGGAGATATTCGACGAATCTGCAATTACAAGTGATGCTAAACTTCAGCTTCTCCTCCAAGCTTCAGTTTTTCTTTAAATTCAATGTTTGGTCCCTCTCTTAAGAATAGGATAGAGCCTTATTTAATGAGTTTAGGAGAGACATTTCCACAAATAAATAAATTCAGATCACTTCATAGAACGACCATGAAAGATTCCTCGATCGGATGACATTCTGTAAGCGTTTAAGTATCTGAATGTTGTCAGAATTGAACGAAATTGTGTTTGTCAAAACACTCGATTTAACTATAAAATTATCAGATTTAAAATCGTTTTAATCTTCTATTAATAAACTTAAAGCTTCTAAAAGATGTTTAACGACTTGATATGGGATTGGTACGACTCAGATTAAACTAATTTTAGTATTATTTGGTCCATCTCGTCGAGCTGATCACTTTGACATAAATTTGTTGAAATAAGAATTCAACATAGATTTTAATTAAAATTTAAATATTTTTTGTTAAAAAGATAATCTCGAAACTCATGCTAACTAATATCTTGGATAATAAATATTTGTTGATTGCTTATTAGTATGGCTATTACAATTTTTTAATTAGTTACAGCAACTTTAACCCTCTCGTTTTCTCAAAAAAATTCGAGATATATACTTTTATAATAAAATCTATTCTGATTTGTTAATTTATAATACCAAAAATAATTTTTTTAGAATATTTTTTGTCATAATAATATAAACTTACTTCCACCTAAAATCTTTCATTTCATAACAAGTTTTTTAAACCAAGCAGTAAAATCACCTCCGTCGCTGGGAAAAGAGATTCTGCCCTGGAGGAGCAAACATAATCCTTCAGCTCACCTCCACCAACTCCGCCGTCATCGGTACGGTGCCATCAACCTCCGGCGACCGTACCCCAACAGATCCTCCGGCGACAGTGATGCAGACTGCGGCCACAGAACTATCGAGGACGGAGTGACGGCAGGTCGGGCAAGACGAGTGCGAGGAAAGCCAAGTGTCGACGCATTGAACATGAAAGCCATGATTACAGCTAGGAAGCACCCGGATCTTCTCTCCATCGACGAACTCTACAAGGCAAATAGGGCATTCAGTTGCCGGTATGTTTGTGCCGGATCCAAAGATTGCCACCGGGATTTGCCTCAGGGCGCATTTCTTGAGCCCCGTAGCCGCCAGCCGCACCGTCGCTGCCTCTGATGTCTCCAACGTGAGCCGCCGACCGCATCGTAGTGCACATCGAACGATTGAGTTTAGCCCTAAGGCACATATTAGGGCGCAAAGAAGGGCCGCCAGGATTATTACCATGTTCGTATCGAAGTTGGAGTCTCGATCGCCACCGCTGCCGGTAGTGATTCTCCCATTAGATGGATCAGGAGGCGGAGCAGCCGCCATCGTCCCGAATAAGGACCTCATCAATGATGCTAGTTTGGTCTGCCCGTGAGCTTATCTGGTTCAGTCGGGAAACTCCCTTAAACAACAACTAAAAAAATCTTTCTAGGAGAAGATATGATTGGGACACCGGGCCTTAACCACCCATAAGCTTTAATGTATTCAGCCTCAATATTAATTTTAGGGTTATTTAATAAAGTGTATTAGATTTATGAGTAAGCAAGCCATCTTAGGGCGAGTTTGGGACGGTGCGGTAGCTAGGTGGCGTCGCACCGTAATTTTTTTTAAAAAAAAAATTATTTTTTGTGTGAGTTTTTGAAAAGCTGTAGTTGAAAACTACATTTTTCCATCTACCTTCGATGACTGCTAGAAAGCAGCAATCAAAACAATGTTTGATTTTTTATATAAAATTAGCGGGGAGTCACATACAAGATGCTCAAAATTGTCAATTTTTGTATTTCACACCTAAACTTCAAATTTTATGGCATTGATGGTGTCACGGTTTGCGAAAAAAATTTTGTCCGGACACCTAAAATAGCTCTACGTGTGGACTCCCAATAATATATCGCCATGTATGTTATATTGGACCCACCTAAAAAATATTAAAGTGGAACCACGAACTCCGCAAAAACCCATAATCAACCCTGGAATAACCTTCGCGGTGGGTTCCTCTTCAATAACCCAAAAATATCACCGCGAATTTCTAGGTTATTTCGGGGTTTTTGAATTGGAACATATGGTTTCTCTTCAATAACCTATAAATAACCTTCACGGTGTTATTTCTGGGTCATTGAAGTGGAATCGGGGAGGTTATTTCAGGGTTATATCTGATTTATATTTAGGTTATTGTAGTGAAATATATGAGTTTTTTTTCAATAACCCAGAAATAACCTTTGCGGTTTCACTCTAATAACACGAAATAACATCTGCAATGTAGCATAGGTGGCGACATATTATTGGACTCCACACGAAGAGCTACGTTAGGAGTCCGAACATAAAATTTTCCCCACTTTTTGAGGCGAGTAAGAGATCGATTTCTAGTGGAAAGTCTTGTGGCCACCAAGGGCTTGGATGCGAACTTACCGCAAATATAATACTTGTGATCGAGATTTGCGGATGGGATTTAAAAGCAAAGGGCAGATCCTGCACTCACAAGGGTGAGGATGGGATCGAGATTATGGGACTAGATTCAATGTTCATTTCCTTTCCTTCTCGCTAAAACCAATATCAGAATTGCTGTGAAAAATCATCGTATTATAAGTTTCATATTTCCTCTCAAAATCACCTCAATTTTGTAGGTCTGAGTACATAAGCAATGTGTCAATGTTGATCCTGAAGAGATCTAACGGTCCAGAAGAAAAGAGTACTTTGAAGAAAGGCAGACCAACATAAGACCATGAGGCCTAGGATACTGTTCGAGCTAAATCTTGTAAAGCATAAGTGGACTGAACCCCAAGACAGGCCAAATACTACTGAAAGATATAAGAACAATCTATTCAAACAAAAATCATGTAAAAGGACATCCAAGCCAATTATCATAAGTGAGAAGATTTTGAGGCACCTCATCATGAGTGAAGGTTTGACCCTGAGGCCACATCAAGCCAGCCAATCTGTATCAACCAAGATCAATTGATCAAACGAATCTCAGTGAGTTAATTGAACCTCAGTAGATCGAGTTAACCCTTACTGACTCGAAGCCAATTGAGCTTAGTGTGTCGATCCAGAAAGCAACCTGATGATAAGCCCATACATGTAAAATACCAAAAATACCTTCTACAAACCTTAATAGTGGGAAAAATGTAACATCCTCCCATTGTACCCTCTCTTCTATAAATAAAAAGATGAATAAGGCATGACTGACACAGCATAGTGTTATTCACAACTCTATCTCTCGTGTTATTCACAACTCTATCCTCTCTCTCTCTCTCTCTTTTCATATGATCTATTCATTGGGCGTGATTTAATGAAAAAATATGATTCAATATTCTAAAATGTACAGTGAGTATGAATCATGCCACAAATAAGAAGAGGAGTAGCCCATAGAGAATAAATTGATAATAGAGACACTGACAACATGGAGTGTACCAGAGATATTATAAACCAGCTGATCCAGGAGTTGAAGGATCAAATGTTGGATGCCATTCAAGATGAGCTGGATCAAGGAACATAACAAAACCCCCAAGAGGAAGGATTAGAGCCCAACAACTAAAGAATCCTCTCGTTCCTAGAATGAGAATGTGACTCCCAGTACTTCGATGCTGCAGGCTCGGCATCGATCAACCGACTTTGATACTAAGGCATTCTAATAGTGTGAGAATACATTCTCCTTAAAATTATTTAAGGTCGAGCTTCCAAAGAAGTTGAAAATCCTAACACTAGTGAGTCATAAGGAGAGTGTCAATCTAACTGATCAGATAACCTCATTTGAGTTGATTATGTATTAATTGAGCATCTCTAACACATTGAAATGTTTTCTCTTCTTTACCACATTGAGGGAGTTAGTTCTCAGGTAGTTAAACACACTATTATTTCAAGTAATCGCATCATTTGATGATTACAAGCAAATGTTTTAGGCTTAGTTTATCAGCGCCTAAGAACCTTAGAAAAATTGGCATATGATCTTGACTTTTATGACAGTTGTACGAAGTATGTGTAGTTATATTCTAAATTTTATTAATTTATATTTACAGTGACGGCAAAAACTTGACTCCCAAGCAAATAATTGTGCAACTAATATATTTAAATATTTGGATACTTCACAATTATACGTATCATTATTAAGCAAGGTAGGACTTTTTTGTTAAGCATTGAATATCGAACTGTCGGCGCAATTTTTTGGTTGGAGGGAGTTCCCCGTAAGAAGCTGTTGGTCACTGGAATCAAAATCTAGTCACCCGCTTCAGAAGGCTGTTTTAATTTACATATATATTTAGTTTTATAAAAATATGAAATCAAACTGACCCCATATTTTTCATAGTTTAAATGAAAGAGCGTTGTACCTCAAATCCTGTATCTATCCTGAAGGATAAAAACAAGACTTGAAAATGAGGCTCGATCAAATAAACTAAAGAATATAAGACATCCTTTTGGTCTGTGAAACCTTTATATTTGCCGATAAGTTCCCCTATTTAATATAAAAAATTAAATAGGGTTTATATTAAGCTGGGTTTGGACATGCTTCCTATAAGGGCAAACCTCTATAGTTAATTACATCTTAAATGACCAAAGTC